AAGACAAGATCAAGTGTTTCAGAGAGAGTGGGTCTCTCTGAACACTGCATCATGCACAGGGATAGAGCAGGGACTAAATAGGACTTGCTAGTCCACGATTGCTTTGGCCATGGCATGGCAGGTTCCTATCCTTGTAATTTCTTTTCAAGCATGAATGAGTAAGTCATATAGTTTATATGGTCATATAGTTTATAATTTAACTTCAGTGTTTGCACAGATTATTCAAAATTAACCTAACCCGATATCATGACTCCTTCACATCAGTGCAGAGGGTAGGACTATAGACAGCAAGAACTGACCGAGCCTGCCTCCCAAGCACCTGTTCTTTAGGGACTGCTTTGATCTCTCTGACAGAAGTCTAAGAGTGAAAGACAAAAAAGGGAGAGTAGATTTGCCAAGTGGACAATTTCGCTGAATTATAGTTTAACTTTGAAAATTCTTTTAGATGTATTTATTTTATATGCGTGTGTGCTTCGCCTCCACATTTGTGCCTGACGCCTGTGGACACCACAAGAGGGAGTTGGTTCTCTGGGACTAGAGTTAACAGATTGTTGTGAGCAGCCATGTGGATTCTGGGAATTGAACCCTGGTCCTCCGGAAGAGCCATGACTGCTCTTAACCACAGAGCAAACCTTCCAGCCCCTGCTCAGTTTCCATAAATAGATGGCGGCAAAATAAATCTTATGTATGTGGGTTGAGATTTTGATGTGTTTTTTTTTTTTTCAAAAGTTAAAAAGAAGAAACCTCAAATCTATTTTCACTTATGATGCTTTATACACTTCTACACACATACAAATTTAATATGTTGTATGGGGCATGGTCGTGTGGTTGCATGTGTGTAGATACATTGGTGGAGGCCAGCAGTTAACCTCAGATGTTTTCTTCAGGTACTGCCTACCCGGTTTTTTGAGACAGGGTCTGTCACTAACCTGGGGCTCAACAGATAGGTTTGTCTAACTGCCTCTCCAGTGCTAGAATTACATGTGTCCATGCCCTGTTTCACTGACAGAACTATCTCCCCCAGCCCCACATTTGCAATTTTTATTGCGCAACCAAACATGAACAATTACCCACTTCTGTTCTAATTATGTAATGTACTTACTTCTATCCTATATAAAAATATTACGAGGTGAGTTGATTTTCTCTTTAGCAGGTTGCAGAAAGACAAGAGGGAAGAAAAGCTACTGTTGTTCTATCAAGGCCAGAAAGGAAAATTTAACTGATATTCTGTTGTTTGATTACTGGGCATGGAATTTGCATTTTTCCAATTGTTTAAATTAAGTAGCCCTCTACTCCGGAGCAGTGTTAAGACTGGTTCCAGAAAACTCTAAGCTTTGTATTCAGAAAACCAACCTTCACAGTTTACAGATGACAGCATGAGGATTGGGGGGGGGGGGCTCACTTAGCATAATTTAAATTTAAATACTTGATTATGGATCAAACTGAGGAGATGTTAAATTACACGTACCTTTTGCTTTTTTCTAAGAATAATATGGCATCGTAATCACTGCGAAGGCCAAGGTGTCATTTTTAAGTGGTTGCTGGTCTGCCCCACAACACAGAGGCTTGTTCTTCCTCAGTTCTTGCTGTCAGCAGCAGCCTGGGGTGTCAGGAATTGCCCGGGTGCACAAGCAAAGCAATGCTGGAAAGCATCAGTCACTCCTTGCTCTCCTTGCTGCACCCCACCACCCAGCTCTTCCTCTACAAGAGCGGACTTACAAAGTCTCTCACTCCTGTCCTGGGGGGGAAGCTTGAGGCTGCTTAGGCAGGGACATCTGGACTGCCTGGTGCCTTGAGTGGCCTGGGATAGAGTGGCGCGTTGTATTCCTGGGTATACTCCTTGGCTCTGGGAGATGTTGCTGGGAAGTGAGGCTGGAGTAGGGCACTAGAAAGCTGGAGTCCAGGCATGGGCCACATTTTTGCCTGAGTTAGGTGGTGCCTCAGGCCAATCACACTGTTAGCAGATAAAGTCAATGACAAATTAGAACGTCTTCCTACCAGACACTAATGATGTTTAAGAACACCATTCTCATATGAAGCTTCTGGAAGGCTTGCCAGCAGTCTTGTAACCTGTTATCCTACCCAGACCATAACTTTCTTAGCTTGGTACTCACTGCTTATCAAAGTGCAAACAGAAATCATTGCCTGATTGCTTATTCACACTACTTAATCACACTTGGTGAGCATAGCGTATTTAGGTCTTTCGTCTGGACCTCAGGTAGGTATTTACTGTTTGTTTTGTGATTATAGTCATTGCTGACGAGATCTACAGATTCATTCATTTCTCTAGACTTAGGAGTTGAGGGAAATGATAGTCTTTCTTTATTCCGCTAAGTTTCAAGTTACATTTGTCCTGATTTAAAAAAGATATTTACCACTGTCAGCTTAAGATAATGAGTTAAGGGAAGGCATATTACAGGCTCTTTACCATGTGATAGTTCTTGGAAAATATTACTCAGAAACTTTAAAAATACTCTAATTTTTAATAAAAAACTTTACTTTTCCAGTTAAATAATAATTATTTCCTTTCTAAAGGGACATAAACTCTTACGTGCTTAGGCTACAATTGCAATTTTGAGACAAAAAAAAAATCAATGTATAATGTGTTTTGTGAGCAAAATAACTTGAAGGTGGTTTTAAAACAAACTTGAAAATATTTGCTTATGCAGCGCAGGCTTTTTTAAAAGTTATTTTTAAAGGCTGAGGAATTAGGCACCTGTTGTTTCGCCAGCTGGTGGGGATGTTAAAAATGGCTATCACTCTTCTGCCGGCAGCTCCATGTTGCACCTGCTGCTACTTGGGTTACAGGCGTTTCACACATGGTAATTTAATAAGGTTAGGTCCCAGGAGAGTGTACTGAAGTTATCCTGCGGAGAGGGCCAAAGCACTTTATAAAGTCTTGAGAGGAAAGCGCTATACGTAAAGCGTAAAACTAATAATTTAGATCATATAGACATCATGCTTTTCAAGCTTGAAAAAATAATATAAAGACATGTATATGATCAGAAACTAGTCACAGATTGCTAAAAAACAAAAACAAAAGGGAGCCCTTTATGATTAGACTAATTATTTTCTCTACACTGTGACCTTTATACTTCTGAAAAAAAAATTTATTTTGAGAGAGGGTTTCTCTGTGTAGCCCTGGCTGTCCTGGAACTCATTCTGTAGACCAGGCTAGCCTTGAACTCAGAGATCCATCTGCCTCTGCCTCCCAGTACTCTGGGATTAAAGGCGTGCATCACCACACCCAGCCTGAAAACATTTTTTTAAATATAATTTTTTATTTATTACAATTTATTCACTTTGTATCCCAGCTGTAGCCGCTCTCTCTCTCCCTCCCTATCCCACCGTTTCTCCCTCATCTCCTCCCATGCCCCTCCCCCAGTCCACTGATAGGGGAGGTCCTCCTTCCCTTTCATCTGACCCTAGTCTATCAGGTCTCATCAGGACTGGCTGCATTGTCTTCCTCTGTGGCCTGGTGACAATTTCATATGTGGAGCTTTAATTAAAAAAACAAAACAAAACAAAACCCCAAAATTTATTTTAATTGTCTCATGAAATAATTAAAAGTAAGTGCATATTGAGAGCCTTCACTCTCATGACCTTCATATAGCCATTAAGTTAAAATCTTAAGTAAGGTAAAGTGAAATATACTTAAAAATTCAATTAACCCACCTCAGTAGGCGCCTTTCACATCGTCAGTGGCATTGGTGTGTGGCCCCCCACGAAGGAGAGAGCAGACACAGGTTTCCATTCTCCCAGAAACATCTCTGCGACATACTCTCAGTGGTGTTTCTGGTTCTTGTTTTTAGGTAGGCTTGGCTTAAAGGTCACAGTTCACTTCCTCTAAACATGGGATCGCGGTGGCCCAACTTAGCCACAAACGCACGGGTCAGTGATTAGACCACAGGTGACTTTTGAAAGATAGAAGAAATTTGTTGGCTCGAAGTTGCCAACATCCCCGCCCCAGAGGTCCATGCAGGCATCTGCGAGTTTCTGGCCGTCCTCGTTGCGGCTCTCTCTTCAGGGAGGTAGGGGCAACCACATGGCACCGACATTACCTACTTTGAGGGTCTTCTGTGGGAAGGTATACGTGACACATCGCGGCGATGACGCTTATTCCGCAAATTTTGCCAGTTAGTTTTCGTGCTTCTTTGATGTGTAGTAAACCACGGAAACGTGGACGCATGCATGGAAAGCAGAAGAGGGCATTGTGGGGGCGGGGGCGACGCATAGGAATAAACAGAATCCTGAGCTCTTGGGCAACAGTCCCTTCAACCTGGAGAGGTTTTTTAAAAATAACAAGTAAGAGGTCACACTGGAATATATTTTTGGGGGTCATCAGAGAGAAAAGTCAAAGGCATCTACCGTTCTATAATACTACAGAGGAGTTAGGTCAAACAGTAAATAAGGATTTACCTAAAGTTGAAGGACCCAGTTTTGCCTTTACCTTACCATAGTATATTAAAATGCCCTGGATCCTATCTGAAGTGCCTTGGTTTTCTATTTAACTTTTTAAATAATATATAATTCTTTATTATTTAACGTTATTACTTTGTAGATTATTTTAAATTTTAAAGTCGATTACTTTAAACCTACTTTGTAGATGACCTTAGATTTTTTTTCTTCTTGTGTTTATCATGTATTCATTCGACTGTTCACGTATTCATTCTCACATATGTGTGCATATGTGAGAGGTGGGGCATGGCGTGAAGTGGTGATCAGAGGACAAGTGTGGGAATCTGTTGTCTTCTTCCCCCGTGTGCAGCCAGGGATGGAATGAAGGTCTTCAGGCTTGGTGGCACATGCCTCTACCCACAAAGCCGTCTCATCAGGCCCTGCAGTGATTTTTTTTATATACATTTGTAATTCATTATTTTTTATGATTTCCCGTAAGAATTGAATTCTTAAAGCGAAAAAGTAAGACACAACACAACTTGAATATTTGACTGACCAGCTTTATTGATATAATGTTTAAGAATGTGTGGACCCAAGCAGATGATAAAAGTGGTGTTTGGACTTGAGATTATCAATATTTTATCTGTCTTCCTAGAATGGTAGATGCCTGAAAACTCTAGGCTTATAAAAATGCAGGATATCTTCAATCTGGAACGGTCTAGATGGATCATCTGGGTGATGGTAAGTAGGTGTGGACAGTTAGCCATAGGTGTTCTGGAACTGACGTTCTGGCCAGTCTTCCCAAACACTGTGTTCTGTAGGGAAAATGGAAGCAAGTGAGATGTTGATAATATCTCTTGAGAAAGAATGCTCTAGAGGAAACGATGAGCCAACACTCAGAAGGCAAGTCACATCCTTGCTTAAGAACCTGGTGGCCGGCACTTGAATTTAAACTGTTAGAACATAGTTTGTTAGAGAAATAATTGTTAAAAGCTAAAATAATTATTCAAAGAATTTAGCACAACATTTTCAGCAGGAAAATGTACAAAGGAAATTAATTAACTAGTCTCCGGTTAGTTAAATTTTCACTGTTTAGTCGTAGTAGGGTTTCAAAGATAGGGTTAAGCATATGGGTTAATATAAATAACTTACGATTAGGAGGCAACATTGTATCTAAAGCATATACTGTGAAGCTGTTATTTATTTTTTAACAAAAATATCACCAAGCCTTAGATATGAAAGAGAGGATAGGTATATACCTTGAAAACTCCATTTAGACAGACATGATGTGTTTGACAAAAGCTGTTGGACAATATATATAGTTAGAAAAAGTCAAATTGAATTAAAAAGTTGAGAGTTGAATTTATTTTCCACATAACTGTCTATTTTTCCCAATGATTTGACTAAAAGTTAATTATGTATAATGTATTTATAACAACAACAAAATAGGAATTGTTTATGGGTTAAAAAGTACAGTTTAATATTTCTGATGAAGATTTATTGGCATGGCTGAATGCCTTTATTTTCTCCCCTTTTCTTCCCCTTCTTTCCTGTCTCCTTTAAAAAAATGCTTTTTATGAATTTGGAACATTGTAAATTTAGATTTTCATCAAAGCTACCAACATAGGTTTATTGAAATATGGCTGGTCTTTTGGGGGGGGGGCAGATAAAATTTATTGGAAATATTTCAATTTTTAAAATAATATTAAACAGCTTTACTTTAAATATGTACTTTGTATGTATATTGTTTTCATACCCTTTGTGTAAAACTGCTATGAACTAGTGGCAGGAAATAAACACTGGCTACTAAAGGATGGCATTTCCAACCCCTCCCCCACCTTATCAGTCTTTTCCTTTCTCTCTTCCTTTCTCTCTTTTCCTCCCTTCCTGCTTCTAGCAGGGTCTCAGTCTATAACCCAGGAACGCCTGGCCCCTCCTCCTTCAGCTTCCTAGAATTACAAATGTATGCCAACATAGCGGCTATTAAGTGATTTTCAAGGTTTTAAACAAGATATTAAACAAGACCACTTGACAAAGAGGACTAAATTTTAGTACCAGCCTTGCTGTGAACAATTTGACCATCAGTAAGAAATTAAATCTCTTTGGCCTCCAGTTTCTTGATTCTAGTGATTTTTTGTACTAGCAAAGAACTTGAAAAATTTGCTCCACTCCAGTACTGTTCTATACTTGATTCTAATCCAAGCCCTGTCTATCCTTCAGGGATATTAAAGCTAAGAGAAAACATCAGCAAACACGGGTTAAACTGTGAAATACTGCATGGGACTTCCAAAATTAATTCCGCATGTCTGTTTGGGTCCTCATACAACATCTCATAAGTAGGCAATTTACTCATACTAACTAACATGTATCAACAAAGAAGAGGAAACTGTAATGGTCGAAAAGGAATCTATCTTCAGTGAGGTAAGGCCAGCTGTACCTTCATAGTTGATGCAGCCGTTGGAGTCTTCCTGGCCTGCCAGCAGCGCCTCTACCTCTTCCTCCTTCATCTTTTCACCTGGTGAAACAAAACAGTTAGTTTTAGAAATAAGAGCCCAGACTATTTTCAAATCCCCATCACAAGTGATCAGCCATGGGCTTTTGAAACCATGATTGAACTCTTGGAGGATGAATGCTTGTTCCTTCTTATTTCCCAGGCACGTAGGAAGCTTTCCAACAGACTGATTTTTGAATGGATGAATAAACTGAACATTATCACTTGTGTCCCGCCTACACAACCTGGGGGAAGCGAAATGGTGCACTTACTCTTTTTCCAATACTTTATGTGAGTACTCCACCCCCAAAACAAACTCACTGTCGCAGGGGCCAAGGGAAGTAGTCCCCGACTTTTGACTATTATTTTTTTTTTCATTTTGTTCTTTGTAGCCTTCCCCCTGACTGTTTTGATTATGACATGACTTTCCTGTCATGACCTTTCCTGCACAGTCTGCCCAGTTAAGATCACTGAAATGAATTCCCTTACCCAGAGTGGCAAGGACATGGCGGAGTTCAGCACCCATAACGGTGCCGTTGCCCTCCTTGTCGAAGACACGCAGACCTTCAACAAAGTCTTCATAGCTTCCCTGGTCCTTGTTGTTGGAGATTGCTTGCATCATGGGCAGAAATTGTTCAAACTCGATTTTCTTAGCGTTCATCTCTGGAAGAAAAGAGCGGTTTGCAAAATTAGTAACCACCGTAAAATACTACCTCTGAGTCATAGAACAGTTCGGACATTCATTAAGAACCTTCACGTAAACTTAAATTTCCGGTAATAAACTCCCAGACTGACAAAGCATCTGATAACAGACAATAGTGTGTGCTCTGCAGTCTCAGTGCCGAGGTTCATCGCTAGCTCAACACTCACAGCTGTTCAGAAATGAGCAACTTTGCCAACCCCTTTCATTTTATTTATCATTAGTTTTTAAAAATAGGATCTTACGCATCTCTGAGTGGCCTCCAACTTGCTATGGAG